AATGTTATTTTTCATAAAGGCAGCCTGTTTTTTCTAAAACATTGTTATAGTGGCTTAACGCGTTGCTAGGAAGCCTTTTTCCCAGAGCCTGATTGCTGGTCCATAGCAGAGCAGAATGTTCGGAAAGATCAGCAGGAGGAAGGACTATAATAAATGCAAGATTTGGTGATGAGTATCAGCTTGATCCTAAATCCATCTTTTTTTACTAAATTAGGGACTGGGTATTTGAAAAAAGAAAACCCTGGCTCCTTTTAGGAGAACAAACATTAAATGGTAAAGGAGTAATCAGGCAGTGCAGCTCTCCGGGTGCTTTAGACAGCGGGCTATTTTTAGTCATCTGTTTCCTAACAGAAATGCCAAAGGGAGAGGGAGAGACCGTGATGCCAGGATTTTTAGAAGCATCTACAGAGCATCCCTGCTCTGCAGTGCAGCAGCTGTTTGCACAGACATACCCGACCTCGATTCCCAGTGGCTTTCTGAGGCACAGACAGACCTCAGCCAGGGCAAGCTGCTCGCCCTGCTTCTGTGAGAAACACTGCAGGGTGCCCAAACTCTGCCACAGATCCACCCTCACGGCAGCCAGACGGGCTTGTGGCTGGCTAGCTGCACGGCTGGCTCTAGCTGCACAACCAGCTAGTGCATGGCACGGCGAACTGCATGGCTGGCTAGCTGCACAAGGCATGCCCACAGTCCAGCCAGACTATGAGCAAGGTGAGGCAGATGAGCCCAAGGAATCAGGGAGGGAAGGGCAGCTGAAGCTGTGGCAGGACTCAGACGCCATCCTGACATTCCACCCGCATCACTTTGAAGTTAGACCTATCCTAATGATACACACAGAGTGAGACTGCACACGAGGCATTGGTTCTTTCAATAATCCACTTTACCTCTAGTAAAGGAGTGAAAAAAAAAGAAGTCTCTACATGTAGGCAAAGTCACAGAATGCTGTGCAAAGGAGAGACAAGAAGATATTAATTAGAAACTTCTCTAGAAGTCACAGACTGGGGGAGTTTGTACAAAGCTGACACTCTCATGGCAGAGCCCTGGCTAAGGGTGCTCTGATTTGTTGGGTAGATTGTCTCAAGGGTCTGTTTAAATGAATTAATGCAATAATGCAGCTGAGATTGGTGAAAGCACGACTCGAGTTCCTCTGGAAATGCGACTAGCAACAGCTCTCCTAGGTACCAGCAGTGATACGATTTAGTTTCTTCAGTGTGGCATGAAGGTGAGGACTGAAGAAGTGGTATGTACCCTTCAATCCTGCTAAAATGGATCAGACCCAGTTAGGTTACTATCTGAGCAAGAGCTGACAGAGTGCTATTAAAAAGATTTTAAAAAACCTTGGTGGCACCCACGGTCATTTATCAGCACCATGTAAGAGAAGGCTGTGGAACCATGTAATGCAGAGGGAGAAATAATGTCATGAATGCAGAAACTTTGCTTCCAAGGCTCCTTCAGGACCCTTCAAGCTCAGCTACTCCAGGTTACAGTCAACCTTTCCCTTTCTCTGACGAAGGGGATTTTGCTAATTGTTGGACACTGAGTGTTCACCCTGGAGCCACAGTACCCAGTGAGTTTTCAAAGAACACTACTGGACTGCAGAGATTTTTACCCCCTGCTTCCTTGCCACAACCCAATTCATCCCACCTTTGGCACAAGCCAGGTGCATTAAGCACACATTCTTGGTTTTCAGATGTTTTGGGGAAGATTCAACCTGGTAGCAGGGTTATAGTGGAGACAGATTTGCCTCTTCCACTTGTTCTGCTTCTGTGTAACTCACTGCCTAAAGGGTCAGTGTCACATTGCCCACAGGACTAAACATACATGAAGCAAAATAAATCCACAGCACCTTCCCCACAGCATTGGTACTCACTGATCCAGAGCCCTGCCCTGCCTGGGACTGGGCAGCAGTTCCTGCTGGTCTTAGGCTGGTGATGATGGTGCTGGACCCCTTCTTAGCAAGACCCACAAGGCATAACAACTCCAGCCTCAGGGATTTGGCTGTGCCTGCAGACAAAGTCCAACCTGCAAATGTTTCTGTTCTTCAGGTTCTGGGAATGGACTGAAATCTGGATTAGAAGACACTTATTGGGGTTTAGATTCAGAGACAAAATGTGCCATCAACAGCTTTGTCAGAAAGCAGAAAAGCAAAGTCCCTGGACCTCAAGAGCACACATTTCAGAACCAGCACTGCCCGAGGCTAGTGAGGGCTGTTGGAGAAGCAAAGGGTTGTGTTTCAGAAAGGGAACAAATGTGCTCATTGCTGACTTTTCTTTGGTGGGCTGTATTATCCTCTGGGCAACCTTCACCTTATACAGTTGGTTCTGTTTTGGATAGGTTTCAGGACACTGGAAGAGCCAGCCCAAGGCTCTGTCTGTATGCAACAGCCCAGCTTGATCTCCCTCGAGCACCTCAGTTTGGGTCCATTTGAACAAAGCTATTTATGTTTCATTAATACCGTGGACTTTTTGTTCTGTGCCAGCTTAAAAGGGGAGAGAAATTGCTACAGTGAGTTAAAAAAAGGAAGAGGAAGAAGAAAGAAAGAAAAAGAGTCAGCATGTGCATTTTAAGAGGTTTATTAATAACTGACACTGATGGTGCCACCTCCTGCTGATATAATCATTGTTAAGCATGTGCTCCTGAGGTGGTTAGAAATCCACGCTGGAAGTCTTGACGACAGAAGCAACCACTCTGTTCTTCCTTCCCCTTTTAAAGATGTTGACTTGTTCTCTGTCTCCCTCCTGCTCACCCAGGTCTCTGGCTGTGTGTCCCTCAGCCTCAATACTCAGACTGGCTGCAGACCGAGGGAAGGCAGAGGGATGGGGCAGGGGGTAGGCAGCAGCAGCCTTACCTTTAGTTTCACTGGTGCTACTTAGTTTCACATTCAGAACCAGCTTCTTTTCCCAATGGAAAGACAACAGACAATTACAGAGAACGTAACCTTTCCTTTGAATTTCAGCCACATTTACAAACCTCAGAGACCGATGAAAGTTCCAGTGAAAGCACCTCGGCAGTGAACTAGCTTCCATTCAGCTGCCCGCACTGGGGTGCCCATAGAATTGACAATACGAAGACCAGGTTCTTTGCAGATTGGCCCAAAGTGAAGGCCAAATCCTAACAGTTGCTGAGCACTAAGCTCCAACTGAAATTGCAGGAGCTTGTCCCTACCAAGAATTCACTGGAACAACTAAAGACCAACTCCCCAGCCATGAACCTTCATAAGGCTGCTATTCTCGTGTTTGACTCACAGAAGGAAAGGAATAGCCAAACATAAAAAAATTAAATCAGTGCAATATATAAATGAGACTCAAGATTCCCAAGAGCAGCTAAAGCCTGCAGAAATTTGGGATTGCTTAATTTCTATCAGGCAGATGCAAGTAAGATATCTCTATTGGAAGGCTGAACAAAACTTCCCTGAAGACAAAGGGGGTGATAGCAGAAAAAGAATTGCAATTTAATTTTTCAAAAAATAAATCATCAGTTTCTGCCCATGACTTCATTAACACATTGTTCTCTTGCTCTGCATTTGGTTTGATCAAGATAACTTCACTGACTACCACTTGCTCAGACACAAGCGCATTACAGAATAAGAACTTGACTGCTGTAACGAAGTGATAACTGATTAGCACTGCTTTCATTTCAGTGAGGGAGTAAAGTTCAAAGGCATCTTGGATAGCTCGAGGTAAATCCTTTCTATCAATATAAATCAAGATCTAATGAACAGCAACATGAAAAGGAAATCAGCCTAACAGGACTGGTTACTGGAAACCCCCTAGTAGCAGGCAGGACAGACTAATGAGACACTGGTTTTCCTTGGCCAGCTCGCTACTGCTTCCAACCCCCTCCTTTTCACTGCACTTCATCTATTTTAAAATAATTTGCCCACACAGAGAAACACTACATGCTATGTCAGGTGTAAACAGCCACAAAACGTGCCCCGAGAGCGAGCTGGGCAGAGCACAAGACCCCAGCCTGTCCTCGGGACCCCCCAGGTTTACTGTACAGAGAGTAGTTGGTGCCAGGTTGTTGTTGGCCTCCAGCTGGGCCAGAGCAGCCTTTTGCTGTGTGAGCCCACAGACCTGCTGAGCCCCGAGCTGCCACCGCCGTGGGGTGACGCAGGGCACAGGGCAGACGTCCTTCTGCCCCACCTCGGCACCTTGACACACCAGTCACAAACCAGCAGCGCTCGTCTGACTTCCAGCTCAAACAGCCCCGTAGAGAGACGGTACAGTTAATAACCCCCCACAGGGCCCTGCTGAAGGACTTTTACAACTACAGGGGTAACGAAGGGCTGTTCACTGGTAGAATGGGGAATCTATGGACAGCCATTTCACTCATAAAATGACCTGAGTTACAGCCTTTCCTTGACTCCAGGCCTATTAAATGTTTATTAACCTCTGACACATGCACAGACAGGAAGCCAAAACCTTTCTAAAAAGAGGCAACAACAAATGAATTCTAATCAGTTAATGTGGACCAGAGTAAGTCTCTCTGCCGAAAATCCTCTTTACAGGACACCCACCCTTCCTCCCTCCCCCAGCTCCTGCCTAAATCTTCCACAAGTAACCAGCCCAATTTACGTGATGCAATGACCAGGCTGAGATAAACCCGAGGGCTTGGCAGGCTGGAGCACCCCTCAGCTTTCAGTCCTGCAGGTTTATTCCTCTGTGATGGAGCATTGACACACACTGACCCAGCCCTTTCGGATCAGGGCTGCACCCACTCCCAACGGCGTAGGCTGGCTCAAGGTTGGGTTTAGGCAATGGGGTTATAAGAAACAATGCTTAGACAGATCCTTAAAGGAACTAGATCAAGACACCAGTGACCTTTAGTCCCTACTGATTTTAGTGGGAGTCCAAAGGACTAGCAAGAATATTTGGAAAACACCCCAGCAAGCCCAGCTCTGGCTCCACAGAGCTCTCAGGTTCCAACCAGAGGGTGGAGGAAGAGTGCTTAATGCATAAGAAATGTTATAATTCTCAGTATATACAAAGTACCATAAAAATGAATGAAGTAATATAGGTATACAAATGGGTTGGTATTCCCATCAAAATATATAAACTTCACCTGAAACAGTTCACTCCATTCTACTGAAGCACTGGCTAAAAAAATTAAGTCCTGATAAATGCAGTACAATAAAGTCTGAAAAGGAAAACATTATGATAATGGTTTTATAAAAACCTGAGATGAATCCTTGATAGACTTAATTCATTTGGTGAACAGAATCTCACAGACTTAAAAAAAACATGAAAAATTGGATCATCTGATAAGCCTGTTAAGACTGAGGCTGATGTTGCATTTGATAATGGGGCGGATTTGAAAGCATTTAGTGTGCTGGCTGCAAAAACTCTGACGTGAACACAGCTTCTGCGTAATCCTCACAAACATCCTGCAGCTCTGCCGCCACATCACAGAGGGCTTCTTCTGTCAGCTGCTCTGCAAGACTGAGGGAGAGGGAGGGAGAAAAAGAAGAGGAAAAGGTTCAGAAAGTTAGATTTCAAATTCCAGTCATCCCGTCCATTGATATCAGTGCTCTGATTTTAAAAGGGAAATACTCATGTTTTTTCATTCTTTCTACTGCTTAGCCCAAGACAAGATCTGATACGTGTTCTGATATGTGTTGTATATCAGAAATTCTCTCCTCAGTCTGGCTCGTAGCAGGCTTAGAAGTGTTGAGAGATCTCAAATGCTTCATTTTTTCAAACTCTTAGATACTAATCCTGCTTTGGGGGTAAGAGTTAAATAATGAGTGGGGCTCATCCGAAGGCCACTGAAGTAAATGGGAACCTTCTCATTGGTTTTAGCTGCCACTGAATCGGGCCTCACTGGGAGCAGTAGAGTTTAAGGAACCTTTCAACATTCAGCGATCCCTGGACCACAGCAGATGTTACAGGAGGGAAAACTCTTTTAGTGTAAGACAACAGTTGTGTATGGGCCTCCTGAAAACGTCTGTTCAGTTTTGCTTACATTCTAAAATACCATGGCGGAGCCTGTCTCAGGCCCGCGGGGCGCAGCCCGGGAATGTTCCCGGCGGGGCCACCCGAGCTCATGCTAGAGGGCTATGGCGCCCTCCAGCGGCGGGAGGGCGTCAGCGAGGCGCGGGGCTCCCGGAGGCTCCGCAGCCGGTTCGGGGCACAGCAGGCACCGGGCAAACGGCAGCGGCGGGGTTCACCGTCGGGAGAGACTCGCTGGCATTTAACCCATCTCCCAGTGCCCAGCAGGTGCCAGTCCCTGACCCTCAGCCTCACCCCCGTCAGCAGGAGTGCGGTTCAGAAGGCAGAACGGCAGCGCGGAGAGCGGACATGGCGTAGTTCAGGGGTTTAGTTCAGTAGATTCAAACACATGATTCAACCAGTTACTGAAACATCTGCCCAGTCACCCCAGCTGGGCCAAGCACCAACACACATCATTACCTGCACACACACAAGTCCCCTCAAATAGCGCAGGACCTGCTCCCAAAACACCAATGCAGACGCCAAATGTTACTCCAACGAGCTGTATCACCAATTTCAATGCTACTGCATTAAAAGTGTCTGCAGAAGTTTAAAAACTCTTGGCAATTAAGGCTGATGTCCAATCTGCCAACACAGACAATTATGGCAAACCACTCCATCTACAACCACTGAACTTAGATTTTGTAATTCTGTCTTAATACTACAGAGTTTTCTTTCATTTCTCCTCCCACGGTCAGAAGTCTTCTGATTTCCCTTCTGCAGGGAATTAATGGCCCTCTATGCCAACTGATGTTGTGCCAGTATTTCTTCAGCTCTGAAAGAACAGGACTAACAAGGTTCAAGTCCAGCCTGTATTTCTGTGGGGTTTTTGGGACTGGGACTTTACAAGGCCAATGGGTGATTTCTGAAATATATCATACATAGTGAAAATGATTTCTAGGCAATTGTAGGCAATCACTCAAGAAAAGTGCAAGGAAATGCTAACCAGTCATATAACTGAGTTGCTATACCTGCTGCTGAGCAATCAAAATGCTTATTCACGTGTCAGTGCAAGGGTGGGTATTTCAGCTTATACTGCCCTGCTCACTCAGCAGACACTGAGCACGTTAAAAACTCACGGACACCAAGTACCAGTGGAAAAACAGTCCAATGGCTGGCTGACTGCTTCTGGCTTTCAGTCTGCAAGTTCAATGGCCCCCTCTCCCCACTCCTTTCCCGAGTAAGGACAGAAAAACCTGTTCATCAGCTGATCCATTCACTTCAAAACCACAAAGATAGTCATGTACCTCTCAGCAATCTGCCAGGGATTGAAACTGCCCACCGCCTCGTGGGAAATAAGCTTTAAGTGATGCTTGTATCTGCTGCTGTAATCCAAGATGCTCTGAAGCATATGCTCTGGCACAGAGAGACACACCGAGCACTCCTTCCGTAGAGAATTCCCAGCCAAGGGCTGCACAATGTCATTTCCAGTCTGCGATTTCTCCTCTGCTTCTTTGTTTTCAGCAGTATCACTGGAAATATAAAATAGTCATTAAGCCAGAACTAGATTTTCAAGTATCTTTTTGAAGGACCAGAAAATCTCTTCAAATAGTAACTGTAATTTTCTATAATGAAAATACTATAATGAAGACACACAGTTTAGTGTAGGGCCAAATATTCTACTTACTTGCTATCAAAAAGTTTTTCAAATAAAATGTTTGCTTCTGGCTCTGTGTGTCCCATCAATTTAGTTATCTGTATTGGATGAGGAGATGTAGGTCTTTTAGCTATTGATGCAACTTGTTGTTCTAGAAGGAAGAAAATAACATTTAAAATTGTTTCTTTGAAAGAGAAAAAATGCATTTACTGCAGGTAAGTCCTCACAAAGACTTTTGCTTCTTTTAAGGGTTTTTAAGAAGTTCTGTGGATAAGTAAAGTACTGAAGCTGACAAGTGACTAAAATTTAAGTTCAACATAGGATTTCCAAGAGCTCAGTGTATTAAAGCTGAGCATTTTATAAACCCTACCAAACTTCAGTATAGATAGTTTGTTGTGTCAGTGGATTATTCTAGAGGAGAGATAGAAAATATCACTCTAAAACTATTGTAGCCCATTAAGCTTGACAGTAAATCCAAGACATGGAAAAAAAAATCCAACAAGATTTGGGCTAAGTCTCACTGTGAGATCTTCCAACCAGTGTAAAACAACGCGGTTCCATTGAAGTCAGAAGGGGATCAGATACTAAGCTTGGAAAAATCAGTGTAGCGTCACTCTTGTACTCAGTCAAAGGGCAGGATAAGGAACAGAGCAGGGGGATGGGAACACAACAAGCATCAGTCCTCCTTTGAGTGCTCACGGTGTTAGGGCACGCACACCTACACGGTGTTAGGGCACGCACACCTACACGGTGTTAGGGCACGCACACCTACACGGTGTTACATATGGGAAATGGCAAACCATTGCTTGGAACGCTGCCCCTCACTAGTGAACTGTTTCCTACTAATGTCACTTAGTTCCCTCTCAATTAAAAAGTTAATCTGATGTGAAAAGTTAGTTATATCTTTCATCTGAAGGACTTTACATTCATACAAGCAGGAAAAAATCTGATTAATGTGAACTGGGAGCATCCAAACTGTTTTTCTCAAGGATTAAATACTTTTTGCTGAGGCACACTGGATAATAAATTCTGTACAGAAGAATCCAGATTTTCTGAGACTACAAAAATTAAACTTGCATGTATGCTGCAAGATCTAAAAACAGTATCACCATCCCTTGAAAGAAATAAGGAAAGACAAAAATCTTCTGAACTTAAATAATTTAATATTATCTTCCGTGTACTGCCAGAAAACCTTAAACTGTCATGGCTTCATTGCTACACTAATATTTACCTAATATTTACTGTTGAACGAAGCCATTTAAACTGATAGTTTATTAAAACAAAGGAAAGAAAATGGGAGAAGCAACTAGAAGATAAATATCTGCTTGCTCCTGCCTAAGCAAATCAACAGAAGGAACAAACTGAGACTGTTTCACCATACCTGAACTCAGGCTGTGAACTCTTAAGAAAAAGATTTGAATTCTTCAGCATGAAAATGATTACTGCTAAGTAATTAATGAATGGTGTTTCAAAGGAATCAAGTCAAATGAGAACACGTTAAATAGTCTTTTCAAGATTAAGATTTACAGATTTGTTGGTCCCTTTCTCAAAAATGAAGACAGGCAAGTCATGAAGAGTTTAACAAGACGACAACTGCAGTGGCTTTAGGATACCTTGGACTTAGAAAGTAAACTCACTGTCTTCTGGAGTAAATTCAAGTAGGTTAGAGATGAATAGGAGTGTATGTATGTAGGGAATGTCATCTTCACTGCACAAAAATCATTACTCACAGTTTGGTAGAAAAAAATACCTAAACTAAAGAATGACAAATGCCTAGAAAAGGGACATCTGTTGACTGGAAGTGTGTGTTAAAGATTCCTAATCCTTCGGCTAAATTGCACTAGCAGTGCTTTCCATTCAAATGCAGCCCCAGTAAAGGCAAGCACAAAATGACAGCCTGTCCTCAGGAGAGACCCTTCCTCTTTAAAACACTAATTTTAGAACTATTTTAGAAGTAGTCCTCTCAAAGGAGCACCTACAGTAAGAAATGTGTCTGGATGGTGCTATCTGATCACTCATAATCCAATTATTTTGATTTCAAAACATCTGAGTTTAAAGATACAGATTACAGAACAAACAAGTTGCATTAAAAAGACACTTACCCGTTTTGTCTTCCTGGCCCCAGAACTGCCAATCACTGTACACAATCTGGGTGAATCTCCTGCGTACAGCCTCCTGGTATCTCTGGTTTTGAACACACAGAATTAATCAACACAAACTTAGCAGCTCAGCTGTACTAGTTATCACCCAACAGGAAAGCAGGTCATGGTCCTCCTTGCCCAAAGTAGGCTTCTTCTGCCTAGTTAACACTGAAAAGGGGTGTGGGGGTGAAATCACAGATAATCTCCTCGTTCAAAAGCCATACTTAAAGACTCAACTTGCTACTACGATGGCAGCTGCTCCCATTTCAGACCGAGGGCAGTTCCCCAAACAACTGAAGGGCCATCAGGCTGTTCCTGCCCGGCCAGCAGCCAATTCAAAGGTGTGCCTCAGTGCCTCACAGGGGTGAGGACACTGCCCAGTGTGAGCTTTGCTTCCGACTTACCAACGGATCTCTAGGAGTAAATGGCACTAAACTCAGTGGTTCTAAGTTCTGTTAAATTTCACTGAACAGGAAGGTTGAAATGGGACTCGAACCAAAAACTAGGGAAAAGCTGATCAAAGAAAAATTTTTAGGAAAGCAATATATGAGAAAGTTCAAGCCAAGTAAGTGACAACTTCTTGAATATTTACATAGAAAGATGAATAAATAAGGGCCCAAATAGCCCTGTATTTGTCTGACATCCCCATGTTGCCCTGTAAAATATTTCAGATTGCCAGAGTATAGTTCCTTGAGATACTTATGCTCCTAGAATACAGGGATCCTCTATCACAAAAAACAACAAAACAAAACAAAACAAAAACCCAAGTTCAATAGTTCCCAATCTGTGAGACAATCAACATTATCCCCATATTGATTGTCCCATTCCCTTCTCCCATTCACATATGATGATCTAAGCCACAAAATCTTGCCAAACTCAGCTGCTAAAGCTAGCAATAAAACATCAGGGCAAACATTATTCTATTACACTGTTTTGCTTGGAAGGGCAAACTCCTTCCAAGTCTTTAATTTCATACACTGACTCAGTTAGACCTTGCTTCATTTACGAATGTAGATACTTACAGATATTGCAATTTATGGACAGTAAACAAGAAATTTGCACTAATGAGACCAACTAAGAGTGAAAATCTTACTTCAATTTCTTCCATTCTGTGCAACATTGACTCCAGGCTATGAGTGTCAGCCATAGGCAGAGCCTCGGTCTGGAGTCTCTCATGCTGCTCCATACTCCATATTTCCTGAGCAGTATCTTCCAAAAGATCATCCAGTAGCTTTTCACTCAGAATATCTGCATTTGCTGCAACCTGCTATTTAAAAAAGATCCAACAAACAAACAAAAACTCACACAGTCAATGCAAGAAGGAAAGAAAAAAAAACCCAAACCAACTGGGGAGAAAATGCTTACAAACCAAACATTTCTTACAGCAGCTCCTGGAAACAATCAGTTGTCTTTTCAACAGTTCTTTTCAATGAAAATACAAATAAATTCCCATTTTCCTTCCACCCACACAATAGGTCAAACCAATAAAAACAGCTTCGTATGTTCCTACCAATAAAATCAATATGGCAAAAGCTTGCTACACAACTATGTTCCCACGTTGAAGACAAAACTGTCACAGGTTTAGAGATCACCCAGGAATCCAAGAAAGTGAAGTGAAGGCTCTTGTCTTACAAACACTACACACACATTAACATCATACAGGAACCACCTCACAGCAGCTCCAGGTGGTAATGAGCAAATATACAGGATGCAGGCCACAGCTGTAGGTTTCAGTTGTGTCCAGTTTTACCAATTAGCCATAGTATGATGCCACTATTCATTTACCTGTGCTAGTTTATATGAAAACATTTTTCCCCCTAAGCAAGATTACACATTCAAGGTCACATCAAGCTAAAAATATACAAAAGAGATGATGTTAGAAAGAGCCTCCTCATTGTTCCATATTGTATGTGCCCATACAATGACACTGTTTTAAAGATGTGGCTCATGTAAATCAAAATTGCTAAGTTTGGGAAATCAGCACTACTCTTCCGGATGCATTCTGCTATATGGCAAAGATAAAAAATACATCTTAAATGCCAAACAGCTTTACTCTCTGACAAACAAACAGAATATACCTTTTCGGCTGCATGAGTTGAAAGGTGGTTTATAAATGAGGAATCCTTCAAGGTGACAGTCTGTTTCAAAGGAGAGAAAATAAAACGTAAATCCTCTCATGATAATAAAGCTTTTTGTATTTAACCATTAATATTACTAGTCCAAATTTATTTAGTCATTAAATAGAGTTTTATAAGAATTATTAAAATAATCTTATCAAGTCCAGTCATGTTCAGCATGGAACTGTTATGACCATTCAGAAACAAATGAAAAAATGCATCTACCTGACAAGAAGGTAACAAAAAAAAAACCAACCAAACAAAAAAATTAATGCAGCTTTTCCAAACTTCATTACAATAAGACCCACATCTTGAAATCAAAATATGCTCTCCAAATGTCCAGAACTGTGTTGACTACATAAACGTGACTTGCAATAAGTTGAAAAGAAACTGTGTTGCCCCTTTATAAATGTTTTAGGGCTCTAAAGGCATCCTTTAAACAGTGGCATGAGCCTGACTACTACCTGGGTCCTCTCTGATAGAGGTTCTGAGCGCTCCCGTTCTGCCTTCTCACCTTGGTCTGCACACTGGGCTGGAGAAGCACTTTGTGACCTACACAAGACAGAACAAATGACCATGCCATTCTGAATCTGTGTGACAACAATAATTCAAAAAACCCAAACGCATAAATGTACTTTTTGGGGAAGTGGTGGGAGTGGAGAGCAAACTGTATCAGATCTGACACCATTTATTAGCTCTTCAAAGTAAGTCATTACCTTAACTTTTCTGGCTTTTTTATTTCTCCTCTGCTAAGGTCAGTTAGCACCTTCACTCTTCTTGAAGTGTCTGCTTCAAGGCATGCTAGTCTTCAAAAACAAGATAGGAACACAGAGGGTTACAAAATGCACATTCTAACAACTAAGAATAAAATCATGTGATTCCTTCAGAGAGAAAATTAATACTGACTTTAAGACTATATAAAGCAGTAAAGTCTTCTGAGAACCAGGGATCTTCCTTGTCTTACCATGTGCACTACCCAGAACAGATCTGGAGCTGGATCTCCCAAAACAAACTACATCCGGAGAGCCCTGCTGAATGGAGCTTAAAATAAACAAACCTGTGCTCTGCTGCCGGCTAGGACAAAGATACCTATTTTGCCCTTCTGGAACAGGGAGATAGTACTTCCCTTCCTAACACCCGCTCTGACACCGTGTTCTTCCCCAGCACCCTGCCTGCACAGCCCGGCCTGGGGCCCGGCCCAGGGAAAAGCACAAAGCAGTGGCTCTTCCCAGGAGTGTATAAGGGGGAGGAGAATGCAACCAGCGGGGTGGCGGGGTGTTCCACCCGGCTGTGAACATACCGCTCAGGAGGAGCCCTAAGGAGGGGTCTTCTGCTCTCCTTAGCAGGTCGTTTGTTCTCTTTTAGTTGGAAAGCTATGGTTGTCTCCTGAAATCGGGCCCGCTTCCCTTGAGGATGTACCTTTCTTGATTTCTTGATCAGCATTCCCTTCAAGTCAACAAAATCACACTAAAAAACTTTTTTTAAAATTTTCAGAATTAGACTCTATGTTAAATCTTAATCCAAATAGAAGGTTTCCAAAGTAACATTTTATTCAGCCATGAAACTATAACATTGCCATATTTGTATTTGCTACACAGACACTTAGACTAGTCCCCTCAGCACGAATTACTGAAACATGTAACCTTCCCTCTCAAGGTCCTCCCTGACAGATAGCTATGAGAGGCAGTAAAAACTACACGTGCATACATCTGTGTTACTGTATCAGATCTGATTTTTCAAGCTGAAGGTGATACTCTAAGAAAAAAAAAAAAAAAGGCACTTAATGAAAAATCCCAACTATTTGCAAAATTCAGCACTCTGAAATATTCTTTAAAGAGCTGCTTTGTTTGTATTACAGAACCCTCTTGCTGGTTGCAAGGACTTACCAGAAACCAGAATTTGTATTGTGAAGTTTTAGAATTTCTGTAATCAATTAAGTAAATCTGCCTAACTTTTATCCTCCTATTAACACTAGCAACAGCACAACATCACTGCTGAGTGCATTTTTCATGACAGAGGATGATCAGTAAGAGGAAAATATTTCAGCTTTAATTTCAAGTTGAAAAATAACCATGCTAATTTCAAACGTGAAACTAGTTTCAGTGAAAGTCTTCCTTGCTAATTCTGTTATTCATCGTTTCTAGATGTACAGTGTGTTTCCAAGGAACAATAACAATACTTTCAAGAAACACTGGATAAAACAGTCATAACTACTAGAAATAGTGTAGGCAGATGACACAATTTATCCTCCTGTGCCTCCCAGCTCAGAATAAAAAAACTGTGAGGAAGTGCAAAGCTTGACAGTGCCTTACATTATATAACAAATCCTGGAGGACAAGTAGAAGCATAAATTATTTTATCACTTCCATACCTGTGATTTTGCAGGTAATAACACGCCTTTCTTCTTCAAAGGACCACTTTCAAGGATGGGATCTTTTTTTACAGCTCTAGCTCTCACCAATGCATCTGTGCTTCCTTGTGAAATGGCATTTCTCTCTGGAGTAGGTGGAGCATTTTCTTCTTGGAATTTATTGTGCAATACACGAGCACAACTGTTTGCTTCTTGAACTGCTGAAATATTTGCAACATGTCAGTGTTTATCTGTATCAAGAAAATAAACAAACTTTCAACCTTAAGTTGAAAGGGATAAGAATTATCACTATTTCTACATTTGATAATTCTATTATGCTAGGTAAACTAATCATGAACTTTTAAGCTCTACCATAACTTTTTAAAAAATCAAATAAAAAAAGAAAAAAAACACTTTGCATTTCCTGACAAGTGTTAATTAAATTGTCTTTCTTACACTGTGTCAATGAACAGGAGATTTTGGGGTTTGTGTGCATATATATATTTATATGGATATAAATATTTGAAAACCATGGGAGAGCCTTTTGGTAGTAATTGCCATACGAGGCTGTGATAACAAAACATTCTTTTTTAGGCAGCAAGACACATCAAAACCATGAGATGCTCCTCAGTATACCGTCTCTCTGCACTGCCAAAGATGAATCCATTTCATAGAATTCTTTGCACTTACTGTTCCAGTAAAAATAGTATGAGGTATAAGAAAGACATCCCAAAGAAGAAAAATAATTAGTATAAGTTATATAATAATGTGATTAGCTATAGTGGCTTTCATGAGGTGTCAAAATACTCTGGGTGGTAAATTTATCTCACAATACCTTGATAAAGAATAAAGCCCATTTCTTTTAATATAGGAAGTAAAGTAAACCAATTCCCAATGGCTGCATGGCAGGCTAGTAGTGGAAAAAGAAACCAGCCTTCAGCTTAACTGTCAGTGAACGTGTCTCTAGGTACTGAAACTGTGATTACTGTGCAGAAGACATTAGCATTAATGAACTGGCAAGAATGAAACAGAGCCATCCTCTCAAAAGTAGAGAAACTGCACAAACCAAGGAAATTCTGAGCCATGGCTTCAGCATATCTTTTCACTGCAAACAGTTAAACAGTGATAGCTTTGCTGGAGGTTTACTAACAGTCAGCAACTTTGCCTTCCAAAATAATACACTTATACAGTATTATCTAGGTAGATATTTGGAAATATTCTCTATGCACCATTAGTGTCAACTTGTAAACTGCCATTTAGGTGTACATTGCAGAAAAACAATCCAAGTGTAGCCCAGAGCAAAAGAAATGGACAAAAATAGGAAGAACATGATGATAACAACGTAGTTATAAAGAGGCACATGAACCTGCAGGTCTATCATACCATGTCAGGGGAACAGCTGAAAGGAATGCATAGCAAGGCTACGTGACTGCTCACCACATACGGGCTGTTACACACTGACCAACGTACCTAACATACTGCAGAACTGAACTGCAGACGGTAAGGTAACTGATAAAAATGTATCTAGTAATTCAAAATACAAACCAGTCAAGAGACTCCTGGCAGCTGGAGGTTTTCTAGGCTCTTGTCCATGCTGATCCTTTAAGAGGAGAGGTTTGTTTTCTCCTTTTGGTGATTTAAGCTGCTTTCTGGCTGGAAATGTCTCAGTGTTCCTCAGAGATTTGCCCTGAGATGCTGAAATACATTTCTTCACATTTTTTGGTGTTTGTTTCTTTTCCAGCAGTGAATCCAGATCCTGAACCAAATATTTAGAAATTTAATCACTCTCTTAGTAAATCTGATGTAATAATGAGAAGCAAATTCAAGAGATTCTGACTTTTGGAACTTTTTTGGTGTGGTTCTGGTTTTGGTTTTTCTGATAGTGATTACTTCTGATAGCTTGTTCATGCAGAAGCTTCTTCATATTATTAACTTGAACCTTACAGAAAAAGCTTGCATTTTTGTATTTACAATTGACTCCAGCAAATTATCTGCTTATAGTGTGTTCAAAAAGAAATGGATACAAAGGCTACAGACAAAAAAAAAAAAAAAAGCCCCCACGCCCCCACGCCTATGGTAAGACAGACAGATGCTTCCTCCAATGCTGAGTCCAAACAATTCTGCCTCCTTTCCTGTTTCCAGGCAGTTAGCACTGTTACTTTTCTCATAAGCAGTTCAGAACAACAAAAATAACAACACAGCTCTTACAGTTACAACAATATTTTAAAGGAAAAATAAATATATTATGGCTATTTTATCAGTTGCTTTTTATTTAAATGAATTAAATACTAGTTTTATAATAGCGCAGGTTACATAGGTTCTTAAAAAATAAATCTTGCAGGTAGGAACTGCAGCAGGAAACGAGAATCAGAACTTTTCTATTACACCAACAACATGTTTTAAGACATCAGACATTACTAACAGAAGCCATCTGAAGGGCAAAGAGCTTAAGTAGCTCTTGTAGCTACAGCGTTTTCTTCTGCCTGGCCAGTTCTGCACCTACCACCGTGTGTGAGGCTCAGATGCTTATCAGTAGTCCTGATGCCTAAAGCATGCATCACAAAACAATAAACATGTAACTTACACCAACATATAAAAGTGCAATTCTTTCAGTCCTGAAAATGGCAAATTAATCTGAAATCAGAAACTGATGCTTTGTTACCACTATTACTACCAGTCCTCGTTCTACCAGGAGAGCCAATACAGGAACAGCATCAACAGGAACAGCAGCAGGGAGCTTCCATGTTTAGAATGCAACTCTATTTTAGACCACCATTATGTAAGAACATTAGAATCATATTTATACATTAGCAAATACGGCCTTTAAAAATTAAAAAAAACAACAGAAAGATATTCTGCCATTTCATTAACAAAGAACATAGTTTGCAGACTTGTATTTCACTGCATCTTTTCTGCCTTAGTAAAAACAAAATGTTTTTTCCTACCTCAACTTGCAGCAAAATATCTATGATAATGTCAGAAATGGAAGAATCCACTTCCAGTTTGGCAGAACAGAGAGACAGTTGTCGGATGAGACTGCCCAGTTCCTTGTAGTGAGTAGGAATCTGCTGCCCTGTCTGGTCTGTAAAGTGACTGGCAAACGCCTGCAAGGCTCGTACAGCTCCTCTGTGTGCTGCCGCCAGCCGGGATACTGCTCGGGACTGGAAAGATGAAAAATAACTGCTTTAGCTATAGAAGGAATACTGATACTTATCAAAGAACTGCTGCCCACATTTCATGGAGAAACACTTGGCCTTGGGATAATTCCAATGGATACGAAGCCATTTGTGAGACAAAACCAACGAGGCATTTAAGCAATCTACTAAGGGTAGATGAGAGCGCTCATGCTGAGCACAGCACCGGCGTCAGGTGGAACAGCCTGGTTATGGGTTATAACCTGCTCTGATGCTTCCATCACCAGTACCAATGGGGACTGTAGTGACAGGCTTGGCCCTAACGTGCAACAGTTGCACAAACAGAACATTCTCCACCCTCCAGTTTTTTTTACGGAAGAAAATACAAGTGATGGAAAAGCACAAGAGAACAACTGGACAATATTGGCCAAACAGCAGGTGTGATCTCAGTGATACCTTTCTGGAAGATGCTGGGCAGAGGAGAGAATCAGGAGGTGGGTAAGACTGAGTGACATCAACAGGAAGTTAAAAAAGTAGCCAAGAGTAGAACACAGCGTTATTCAGAAAAGGAAGTGGAATGAGAATGAATTAGAAGCCCCATAAAAGCAGCAGCAGACCAACAGCCTTCCTCTCCAGTTTACTGCAGACAGAGAAGAACGGAGAAGAGAGAAGCAGCAAAGGCGGTATCAGAGCAAGCGAGACATGTGTGTGAGAATGAGATGAAAAGCACAAGATACAAAGAAAATCTCCCTCTGGAGAGGGCTCAGGTGTACCCTACACAATCAAACTCAATTAGCCAGAAAACTTTCCATTAAGAAGTTACTCACAGCCTGGAGGATAATTACATCTTACCTTTTTAGTATGTTTGATTTTATGAGGACTCAGTTTCTCTAAATCATCCTGTATTTCTTTTACCTGTTCATCAAGAAAGGAGAAAGAGAGCGTAAAGTCACTCAGAATTAGCTCTACATTTATAAATGAACAATTAATCTTCACTGTAATGTCTGAGTGAAAGTCCAAATTTTCCAAAGGTGATGCTCCTCTCTCTGTCCAGTCATGAGAGAAATTAGTCACACCATAAATGCCATGGAAGTTCAGAGATAGCCTGATCAAATTTCTCTTGTTTCAGTTAATTCCTGTCAAATTCATCACAATAAACTAGCTACTATAAAGTGCGGTTCCTACCTGTTGTTGGAGTACATACAGCATCCGAGCTGACCGGGCAGCTTGTTTCTGTCTCCTACTGTAAACTTGTTGCTCTTTATCAGGATCTAAAATTTCTTTCTCTCTCCCTAAAGAGCAAGAAATGTAAAGTTTTATGTCTTAATTAACCTGTGAAAATCCCAATTAAACCATGATAACAAACATAATTTAGTAATGAGCCTCTTTCATGCAGAACCAATACACAATGTACCCCTGGCAGGGTTCAAGGGCAAGTTGGACGGGGCTTTGGGCAACCTGGGCTAGTGGAAGGTGGCCCGCCCAAGGCAGGGGGTGGCATAGATGAGGTTTGAGGTCCCTTCCCAAACCATCCTATGATTCTATCGTGTTTCTATTTAAAATTTGCATTCTTATGAAACAGCTTATTAGCTATACCTTACAAAACCACGTGACCTCTTAGTTTTATGAGAAGTTGCAGCTAAAGCACTCACAGTTAGGAATGGTTAAACCTCTGGCTAGTTATGCAAAAGAACCAGTGCAGTATATACTGGGGCTGGCTGGGATGGAGTTAGTTTTATTCACAGTCATCAGTACAGTGCTGGTTTGGATTTATGAATAAAAACCACACCCCTGCTTTGGCTGTCCCTGAGCAGTACTTGCACAGCACTAAGGCTGCCTCCTTTTCCAACTATGCCCTGCCACGGGTAGGCTGGGGCTGTGCAAGCAGCTGGGAGAGGACACAGCCAGGGCAGCTGACCCCAGCTGATCAAAGGGATACTCCATGCCATGGGCAGAAATAAAAAAATTGAGGTTTTGGGGGGAAACTGCTCACAGACTGGCTGGGCATTGGGTCTACTTGTGGAAGGTAGTGAGCGATTGCCTTTGCATCACTTGTTTTGGGTTTTTTCTTTCTTCCTCCTCTTTCCTTCCCTTACTAAGCTATCCTTACCTCAGCCTCTAAGTTTTCTTGCTTTTAATCCTTCTATTCGCTCCCCTGTCCCACCAATGGGGAAATGAGCACAAGTGTGTGACACTTTACGGCCGACCAGGGTGAGCCCACAACACAGTGCCAGGAAGCACATTAATCGTGCTGCTGCACTGCCATAAAGCAGGTGAGTCAGACTGTGAAATGAACTTCTACCAGCTGTTACCCCCTTTCTCATCACTGATAAGATTGTCGTTAATTACGATACTTATTTTTGCGGTCTGACTATCTAGCCAGTAGGCCTACAGACACCAATTTTTTTTTTTCACCTGTGTTATCAAATAGCCTATCACTGATTTGCTGTCATTGCAGGTTGGACTGAAACTCACCACAAACACTTGGAGATATTAAACTTTGCTATTGCTTAACCTGGCCAGCCATTCCAGCTTTTGTCTACTTTTGAAAAAAGTAAATGGTTCTCAAAAATCCAGAACTGAATATGGATTCTAATTCAAGCCAAAAAACCAAAAAGAAAGACAAATCAACAAACTACTGTACATTTATATAACATAATTACTCTTCAGTCTTACACCTTTTTTTGTCAGTTCTTCAATTTTCTGGACATAGCTTCTCAATTCCTTTTGCAGCCGTCGGACTTCCTGCATACTTTTATCTTCTTTTTTATTTACATTTGGCTTGGGGTGAGGTTCTATGTCATGGGTGGGTGGAGAGTCAAAACCAGCTGGTCTTAGCTTCCCCTTATTTGGTGTGTAGAGATAAACTGTAGCACCAGAGGTGGTAGTCTCCACTTTGGAAGGCTGACCGAGTTTCTGCTGATATTTCAAGCAAGTTTGAGACTTCAGTGCATTTTTATTTTCCGGACTTACAAATACTTCAGTCTTCTGCTGTTGTGACTTCTGTGCCAACAATGGTTTATTGACAGCATCTCCAAACACTTGCCGTTTCACTTGCTCTTCAAGATGTCTTCGTTTTATGTCCCTTTTGGCTAGCTGAATAGCCAACTTAAGTCTCTCTTCAGATATCACTGAAAACATGCCTGAGCTTCTTATGCTGGGGTCCTCACTTCCATCTAGATTCTTCTGATCACTGGGTGCCTTCAGTTTTTCTATTATAATTGGACGGGGGTTAGAGAATCTGAGAGCCAAGTTCTCTGGGACTGCAGGCACATTTCTATTAAACTGGAGCTGCTCCAAAGTGTAAAAAAAAAAAAAAAGCTGATGTTACACAGAACACTTTACACAGTAAAGAAAATGGATCTTCTTTCATATTAGAATGCTTTGTCATGATGGTACTTCTTCATAGAATCACAGAAAAATTTGGGTTTGAAGGGACCTTAAAGATCATTCAATTCCAACCCCCGCTTCCCCCAGCCCAGGGTGCCCAAAGCCCCGTCCAACCTGGCCTTGAACCCTTCCAGGGAGGAGGCAGCCACAGCTTCTCTGGGCAGCCTGTGCCAGGGCCTCACCCCCCTCACAGGGGAGAATTTCTGCCTCAGATCTCATCTGAATCTCTCCTTTGTCAGTTTAAAACCATCACCCCTCATTCTATCCCTCTCCCCTTTCCCATAGCCCCTTTCAGCCCTGGGGGGCCGCTCTAAGGTCTCCCCGGAGCCTTCTCTTCTCCAGCTGAACCCCCCAACTCTCCCAGCCTGTCCTCACAGGGGGTGCTCCAGCCCCCCCAGCATCTCCGTGGCCTCCTCTGGCCCCACTCCAGCAGGTCCGTGTCCTTCTGCTGTTGGTGCCCCCAGAGCTGGACCCAGCCCTGCAGGGGGGTCTCCCAGAGCGGAGCAGAGGGGGAGAATCCCCCCCTCGCACTGTGCCCCCCCTGCTCTGGGTGCAGCCCTGCACATGGGGGACTTTCTGGGCTGCCACGCTCGGTGCTGGCTCATGGGCAGGTTTCCACCCACCAATCCCCCCAAATCCTTCTCCTGGGGGCTGCTCTTAATGCATGCAAAGCATTCTGTCCATTCAGACAAATGCCAGTACCCAAAATTAAGAATTATTTTGTTCATCTTTTAAATAACATTAGGCACTTATCTGTAACTTAGGGTGGACACCATAGGAAGTATATACACACACACATTGAAAAATCTGCTCCAAAGTGGCTATGAGAACAAATGGCTTTATGAATATTTTTTCTAAGAGTTCTGACAATGAAATTAATGAGTTATAACAACAATAACATTAGTAATATATATGGCAGTAATATAAATATTATACTGATTTAGTAAGGCATTACTAAATTTACAAAGGTAACAGAAGGAGAAATTATGAAGGAGATGCATGATGAAGGAGAAATGGAAAGCTGAAACATGGGACCAGGTTCTGTTTCCATATACTAAAGTAAGTGGTTAAGATACTGTATTGATTTAGACTGGGATAGAGTTAGATTTCTTCACAGTAGCTAGTATGGGGCTATGTTTCAGATTTATAATGCAAACAATGTTGACTGCACTGATATTATTGCTCAGTTATTGCTGAGCAATGTTTTAGTTACTGGCAAGCAATAAAAGCTGGAAGGGGGGGGGGTGTGGAGTGGTGGCGTGTGTCATCCCAAGTCACAGCTACACGTGACGAAGCTGTGGAAATGGCTGAGCACCTGCCTGCTGATGGGATGTAGTAAATTAATTTCTTGTTTTGCTTTGATTGTGCATGCAGGTCTTGCTTTCCCTATTAAACTGTCTTTGCCTCAGCCCATCAGTTTTCACACTTTTACCCTCCAATTCTCTTGCCCACCCCACTGGGAGCCTGAGCGAATGGCTGTGCTTAGCTGCCTGCTGGGCTTAAACCACAGACAGGTGAATAATGTTTACAGATGTAGTTTCTGATCTACACCCTTGCGAAAGGATGGTGTCAAGATTACATGTGACAGCATCAGGAAAGCAAGTATGGAGATCTGACACCAACGGGCTATCTCAGGAGGTGGGTCATAATCATCTTTTTGTAACAATCACAAATGAAAACCAATTCAGCATCGCTGCAGAAGTCGAATAATACCTGTGTTTGCAAAGACTTTGCTTCATTCCTGTACAGCTGGGTAGTGAACGCAAACGTGGCATCAGACATAGTCGGGTTGCTTGGTCCCATCACATTGGCTTGACGCTCAAAACCTGGACATTTGTCCTTTTCTTAGTTCCAACTATGAACATAAGAAGAATCATACGTTATTTCCGCCCCTCAGGAGCAATCCCAGGGCTGGTGTGAATAACACCTAGAGAGCCAACCTGAGGAGGCAGGTAGAGATGGAAAACGTGCCACGTGTACTCACACAGCTGGTACGCAAAACAGAGAGTACAATCCCACCATTTAAAGCATAATTTACAATTTATATCCTTCTTTTACACACCCCACGGAGAGCTGAGGAGCACCATGATGGACTACGAGGCTCACGCTACAACTTGTAGGGTCTTACTTACCCAAAAGGGAATGGTGCGCTGCAGCAGTAAGGGAGCGGCAGGACAGCCTCGGGCAGAGCTCGGGAGGATCAGTGTCACAGGAAAACAGATCGACCTGAAGTTCTTCAGAGAGAAGGATTTAAAATAAGAGCGGTGTGTGGAGACGGCCAGAAACTTCCCTCTCCTTCCCCTGCCTCTGAGACTTAGAAAGGGAGCGGGATGCGGCGCATGACGCTGTTCAAACCGTCTGTCGCGACTCAACTACCGACCTCGCCCCGGGCCGCGCCCCACCGCCGCCGGTCACGACGCTCTCCGCACCCCGGCCCTGTCGG